GAGGAAAGAGGGAGTAGCTGCGGAGGGAGAAGCTGCGGAGGGAGAAGCGGGGGAGCAGGGCCCAGAGGCCGGAAGCTGGTGGCCCAGGGGGCACACCAGGTCAGCGGGGCAAGAAGCAGGAGGGGCAGAGGAGGGCGGAGGAGACAGAAAAAGAAAACAAACAAAATAAAACGGAAAAGAAGAACTCCATTGAAGAAGTAAGCGAGGTGTCTTAAGGGTGCACGTCTCCACTTGTAGGAGACGTGGCTTTGACCTGTCCCCCCTGCCCCCCATCCCCACCCCCTTTCTTCTTCCTCTCCTGCCTGCCAACCGCCGAACTGATTAGACTGTAATTAAGGCCATAAAGCCCTCAGATTATCCACCTGTTTATTCACCAAAGTCGGGGTCTCATCAAGCAAATTAGCTGCTTCCCGGCTGCACATTGGGCCTGGAGCTCGCCTGATTAATGGAGTTTATTGGGAGCTGTTAAAAGCATTAACTGGAGAAAATCTCGGCAATTCGTCATATTTAAGGGATGGAAATTAAATCTTGCTATGCAAATGAGAAAAAAATGCCAGCCATTTTGGGGGGCTCCTCTCTACGTATTCTTTTTTCCTTAAAATCCTGCTCAGGAAATGGGCATGAACACAGGAAGCCACTGTGTGGACCTAAAGTTATCAAACCTCTTCCCTGCCACCTTATGTGGCATCATGATGACGGGGAGTGGAAAAGAAACCACAAGAATGCCCTGGTTCCCAACGCAGAGAGATTGTTTTAGGGCACCTATTCCCAACAAGAAATCCCATTGTTTTTTCAAAATATATTTCATTGGTTTTCCACAGAGAGGAAGGGAGAGGGACAGAGAGTTGGAAACATCAATGAGAGAGAAACATCCATCAGCTGCCTCCTGCACACCCTCCACTGGGGACGTGCGCAACCAAGGTACATGCCCTTGAGCGGAACCGAACCTGAGACCCTTCAGTCGAAGGTCAACGCTCCATCCACTGAGCCAAACCGGCTAGGACAGTGGTCAGCAAACTCATTAGTCAACAGAGCCAAATATCAACAGTACAACGATTGAAACTTCTTTTGAGAACCAAATTTTTTAAACTTAAACTATATAGGTAGGTACATTGTTATTAACTTAATTAGGGTGCTCCTAAGGCTTAGGAAGAGCCACACTCAAGGGGCCAAAGAGCCACATGTGGCTCACGAGCCGCAGTTTGCCGACCACGGGGCTAGGGCAAGAAATCCCATTTTTAAATTAAAGTTACTATATCTGCCTACAGAAATGAGACAGGCACAGTAACTTTCACGGGAGGAGTCCTTCCAGCAGTTCAGCATTTGATTTGGGGGGTGAGTGATAAAATAAACAGCTAACAGAGAGGGGGGTTCCCCGTTAGGTAAGAGCCCCAAGGGAGGAGCACGGGAGAAACACGGTAGAGGGACACGAGAAAGCACCCCAAATAACGCAAGATCCTTATGAGATGACCATGGAAAATGTCTAGGTACCCGGTGTCTGTCCTCACCACTGTGGTCCTGGGACAGATCTGGGAAGGGGTGGTTAAGGAAATAAACCAGGGAAGTAGGGAAAATTACTCACGTGGAAAGAGGAAGCCGGTTGCAAACTGAAGACGTAATCCAGACTTTGTCACGTACAGACCAACTGTAGGTGCTGCCTGGTGAGGTCAGGGCCGCACAAATGCTTCTCAATGGTGGCAGCTATGGAACGGAAGGGAGGGTGATTTCAGGATAGTAGTTATTCTTGAAAAGGGGGAAGTCTTTTCTACAAGAGTGAGTAACAAAAGTCCATGCATGGGTGTCTTCTATTTCAACAAACTATGGGAAAGAAAAGTGTGCAATGAATACGTTTTAGTCGATGCAAAACTTACAGTGATGTTAATGTGTCGAAATTTATTTTTACATCTTTTCAATCATTTCTTTTTGAGAGAGGCATTTTAAGGATTACTGTACTTTGAAATGTTTACATTATACATCTGTTTAAGGACAATATTACATGTTTTATAATTTCAGTCAAGTATATTACATTAGAGCAAGGGTCCTCAAACTTTTTAAACAGGGGGCCAGTTCACTGTCCCTCAGACCGTTGGAGGGCCGGACTATAGTTTAAAAAAACAAACTATGAACAGATTCCTATGCACACTGCACATATCTTATTTTGAAGTAAAAAAACAAAACGGGAACAAATCAATATTTGTATTTGCATGTGGCCCGCGGGCTGTAGTTTGAGGACCCCTGCATTAGAGCATATAAAACCTAAATGCTATATGAGTCCAAAGGGACAGGCACAGCTAATAGAAAATTAGGTCAGTTTTAAGAACATTGTACCATGATATCTCTTAGGGATTCAGTTCTAAAATAATGGATGGATTTTTATAGTTTTTCTCACTAATGTTCTTCAAAATAGATTTTCTAGATAATGCTAACTTTTGTTATTTTAAAAACTGAAAGTGTTGAGATTTATTACTTTCTCTCAATTTAATGAAGTCACAGTTGGCTAAGGAAAGTAACACATCATTTATATTAACATTTATCTTTTAAAAGTTCCAAGAAATCTCACTTTATATTGCCCTCCCCTTTGGTGACTATAATATAGCTTTGTGAAACTAAAAAAATGTAAATTTGACATCTAGAAAATTCAATAGCAACACCCCAAAGCATGAGTAACCTTGAAATATCATCTTCATTTGTCTTAATCTTTAAAAATCTTTACATTATTTGTTTACTGTCTCTGCAAAATTCCAATATATTCTAAATATGACTCACAAGAATCCCATTCTGTTTCTATCAATACTCTGCCTAACATTACTTGGCTTATAACGCGATGATTTTGTAACAAATGAACTGTAAACCTTTTAAATGATGATTTTATTTGCAATAT